AAACCAACTAGCCGGCAGATGAGACAGAGAAGATAGGGCTTCAAGTGAACATAGAGAAGACAAAGGTAACGAAAAACCTAATCAACAACAACAGAAACCAATCATTATCAACATGAAATATTTGGAAAGTTCCATCTTTTTCTCTTGTATAAGCAGCATCGCTTCAACTACAGGTGGCAGCACGGATGCCAATTGATGGACGTGGGAAACAAAGCAAACCTTCATTAATCTGAAATCAGTGTGGAAATCTTATGCACTCAACGTGTGGAACTAGATTTGGATTTCCAAAACTGTTGCCAAGTCAGTCAGTACTTATACATGGTTCATAGACTTGAAGCGTCACCAAAAGCATTCCCAACAGGCTGCATACTTTTGTTAACAGCTGCCTTCATTCCATACTGAAGATCAGCTGCCCAGAAAGGATTACTGAAGATGTGGATGGATTAGATACACGCTGAGGCATGACTGGCATCACGCGCCAGGTAGAATCTCGAGAGGAACCTGAATGGGAAACGACGAGTCAGGCTCCTCAGAGCGACGTGGAGGAAATTGTGTGAGGAAGAGTTGAGAAATTATGTGCAGTCATGAAGCCAGCTATACAGGACCGAAGAGAACAGAACCAAATAGGGTTCTGCTGCTGAACCCCTATGTTCCACTCGGAACCTAAGAGAATAATAATAACTCCATTAGGGATAAGATTTTATTTTGATAAATCACACAGTGTTACACAGTAATATTAACTGATGACGTTTCGAGCACAAATTATTGCTCATAATCACAGTGCCCAAGTTTTATACTTATAATAATAATAATGCTAAGCGTAATGTTAAAAAAGATAATAACTTTACACCGGTCAACAGATTAGTCACATGGAACTAGCACAACGTTTTTAAGTGTCAGTTGAAATGAGGTGTGTTGACTCTCATGTAACTCAAAAATGAAGTATCAGTAGCATTCGATTGACTCAAACTTAAAGATATCACTGATAAATAATAAGCTTTATCAGACGATATTCTTCGGTGCAGTATGCACAATACACACACGATAGAAAAAACGTCAGTAAGTTGAGTGGTCATGATGTTGTAGTTTATCAGTCTAAATCAAATCCCATCCAGGTGATCAATGATTTGAACTTTGTCTCATCTGTAGAGATACTGACAACCAAAGAGTATAGTTAGATTAAACCCAGCAGCTTCGGTTAGTAACACATTACATTGTATTTGGAATTATTTTTGACAGTTCAAAATAGTTAATGAAGATGAATAAAAGTATTGGTGAGTAGATTATGAGCAAATTTTACTTGTGAAAGTGGTCTTCGTGGATATACAGATAAAAATCTACCAGAAAATTCCAATTCAGTTGTGATTTGGGAATCCACTAAGCATAGATTGCATAATAAAAAGAAAAGATGGTAAGTTGAACACTAGTATCCATCCCACCCTGTCAGTGAAAATAGGATTACTGAAATGTTCAACAGATAGGGCAGTACAATTAAATAGTACCAAAGAAAAATCTAAGGCAGGAAGTAAGACACATAAAAGCTTTTGAACTTAATAATTACCCAAGAGAATAATACTAATAATGATATAAATAACAGGCATTTACAGAAAGATAGGGCTAGGAACGAGGAATTTAAAACGTCAGTAGCCCTGCCGTACAAAGATGGAACCTATGAAACCTTGCTTAGGATACCTAATAAGTTAGGCATAAAAGTAGCTTTCGAATCCACAAGCTCACTTAGAAACAAATTATTTCGGTTGAAGGATTACGTAGAGCCCATTAAACAAAGTTTGGGCTGACGGGTATCGACGTTCGCGAGTTGTACGGATTATACTAACGCAAGATCTTATACCAACAACCACTATAGTGTTCGTTCTTCGAGTACCAAATGGTAAAGCAAAAGACCAGATTTTGTCGTCCAAATACGATATATATTTTGGGACCAAATCGCGGGTAGGAATGAATGCTTAGCTAGCTAGTAATCGTGCACGCACGTGACACGACGAAGAGCACCAAATGGCGGGGATGCTTGACCGTAAGCCTTCAGCTAAACAAGTCGACTTAAACAGTGATGGTCAGCATCCAATGTTGAGTGATGATTGCTGTGGTTAATAATTTTGGGGAATTATTTACCGCTACAAAAGTAATTTACAAAAGAATGGACTGAAAATTTTAATGGGCATTTTTAATTAGTCAAAATAATTTAGTTTATCTTATAGCTTGCAATGATTGTGGGGTTAAATACTTATGTCACAGTAGCTGCCTGGGGTCAGTTAGACCCATAAAACAAAGATCTAGGGAAATTTAGACAAGGTGTCCCTAATAAAATGAGGAACTTAGAAAAAAGCTCAACTGTAGCTCCACAAGCAGTTATATACAACCATCTAAAAAGGCTGGGATAAGGTGACAGCTTTAAAGTCTAATGTAACAGGGTGGAGGGAGAGACTGATGACTGTAGTTTTATCTGTCAAATTAAGTGAGGTCGAATACAGTAGGAATGACTTAGCACCTGTGCAGACATCTAGAAAATTCTACTACCCTTTCGACAAATGGGAATGAAAACTGAGAAGTACAAAAATCAAGTTTCGAAGTTGTGCAGTTAAAACTGATGTGATTATGAACAATAAGTTATGTTCAGAACGTCATTCAGCAAAAGAAACAGGTTTACTATATGATATATTTAATAAGCTAATTGATATAGAATTTTGCCTGTTACCCTTTTAGTGTGTGTATCGATAAAATTAGGTTAAAAACCAACAAATTAAGCATTACAATTAAATTATACAGTTTTTAGATCGGTCAGTCGAAGCGAAGCATAAATCTTCTTGTTAACCTCATTTTATATACTTAAATCAAACAGCTATTGAAAACACTTACTTTATACTATTTTTACCTTAATAATTTCAAATAAAGATTGGACGAAGAATCACATGCAGACTGTCAGCATAACGTAATCATAAAATTAATAAATGAACTAGGGCATTATCTAGATCCCAACCTACTCATTAAGAAAATTACTTAATTGAAAACTTGGAATACAGTGAAGTCTTGAAATTTAAGCATGAATATTGCTCGACTAATTGTCCGGATCCCTTGTTTATTTTGTGTGTGTGTGTGGGGGGGGGGTCTGAAAAATAAAAAGTTAAGTCAGTTACGGAATTAAATACTCCATGTTCTATGAAGTCAAAAATACAATTGAGCAGATAATTAAATTATGGAATTCGGTAGAGAATTGAGGGGAATGTTGGAAATGAAATAGACACAAATCTTTAAAAAAATTAAAACTCATCATGATATAACAAATCAAACGACAGACTTATTATGGATTCCAAAAGACTAACTCATAAGCTAACTTTAACATATTCCTATACTACGTGACAATTGAAAACAAAATTATGTAAGCAGAGAAAACAGGATCAGTGCGATGAAGTGAATAAGGAAAACCAAAGAAGAGAAATGTCAGAAAACTGTGGTGAAGTTGTACGATATAAAGAATAAGAAGTGCACATACTTGCGTCATTGTACATGATTTGATTTACAACACAAATATATTGCAACCGTAGCACCACTATCTTTTCTCTAAAATAAACCCACTTTATTAACGCACTGAGAATAGTTTCCGATAACATTGCATGCCCAAGGAGACAGTGGTCAATCAAGCGTCAGTCACGTTATTATCACGTCAACCGTTTAAAAGTTCACAACCTCATCAGTTGATTTGTCCTCCTGATGTAATAATCCACGTCTAATCTCATTATGACCTACCTAATTACTGTACCCAACTTCAGCTATTAGGCGAAGACATTTATGATGAAAAATCCTCAAATCTTTCAATATTCACTTCCACTGGCCATGTTTTTTAGATGCCAGGCGATACACGCGGCCTTTGGTGGGTAATTGGGAACCACACATGTGCCAAAGATGACAAATGCCTAAGTAGCTCTTTGTATCCATGATGCGAATGCATCAGCAAGTAGCCAATTAGGGCTGAAGAAACTTCTTAAATAAATGAAGCGATCAAAGCACTCAACCATTTAACTCCTTATCTAATAAGTAGGAATCGGTACATATCAGTCCTGCAGCATCATCTTACAACTGACAGGAGTGAAGCGCATGCCAAGCATTCTCAGATTTCAGCTAAGCTCCTAAAAGATTTGCATATTTCTGGTGTCCTGACCTCGAAGAACTATATAGTCTGAGAATTACAGATCAATGAGAACTTTTTCTAGTAGCAAGTCACTTCTAGAAACATTGAAATTAAAGAATCCTACTTGCTAGTATATATATATATATATATATATATATATATATATATATATATATAGACAAGCCATCACATTTTGTGTTGTGGAGGCAAAATGACAACACTGTTGTGTAACTGGTGATGGGGGGCATTAAATACCTAAGGTGAAAGTTTTGTTAAGCTGATTAAAGTCACTGCATATGTACAATGAACACTTAGCGATTACTACACCTTTATTAAGCTACACTGCTAGACATTCACGAGCACGAAAAATCAAGTTCCTAGAGCAACGGCCAATATAACTCGCTCCACAAGCGCAGTTGAATTGGTAGATACAATTAGAAGTGGCTAGTCTAGGTACTTCACCTTTCAATTGAGGAATCATCATCGATCGTGTAGAAAATAAGACGTGTGGCTAAATAAAAGTGTAGTAACTTTTAATACTGGGAAACTAAAAGTCTTATTTAGTAATTACTTTACAGATGTTGGTTCTATAACAGTTTGTGAATACATTTGTCTTTTCGTATTTAAACCCATTTTAAATTCTTGATAAGTCTGCTATTGTTTCACCACATTACAGAATGTTCAGAAATAAGAGTGAACGTTTGCAGAGTGAAACTTAGGTCCCCTTATCTGTGAATTACCACTAAGATTATTTGTAATACTAAGCTGAACATTGAACACAGTGAAATAAGTCATATACAATTATCAAGACTCTATTGTTCTTGTTGCAGTTAGTGATAAGAAGTCAAAATAATTGTTTCCTTTAAATTGTATATTTAACAGTAAAGTCAAGAGTGAGTGATATCACTGTGAATCATATATACAGGAGAAATGAAACTGGATCACTGGACTTTAAAGACAGAAGAAAAAAGGTAAGTTCATAGAACCGGAAGTCTGGCATGATGTAATGCAATACAATCACACAAAACCATCTCAAAAAAAAGTGAATAGAAAGATTCAAGAGTGGCAAAGAAACGTTTTATTATTTAATCTGGACTTGTCTGTAATTCACTTGTGGCCTCATTTATAACGACTGGATTATTATTATCACTATCATCAGCTGTTTCATTAAAAGACAAAGCAGAATTATTCACCTGATTAGCAGATGCTTCTGATGGAATACGTCGTGCTATCATAGTTACAGTTACAACTTGAACATCATCCTGATGCGAAGGATGATTAGCATTGTTAGCATCATCATCTGACTGCCGATTTGACACATTATTGTCTGCAAGTGAAATACCAAATAGTGAAGCAAATGTTGAGGCAGCATTAACTAGACTAACAGTAAATACAGCACCACAAAAGAAAACTGTCAACGCCACTAAAGCGAATGTAGAAACAGAATTAAAATATTGTCTGTAAGCAATTCTAAAAAACCATGTGAAAAGTAGAAGAAAGGCAAATAATGGTTTCATAAGTCGAGTACCCATATCAAACTCAGTTAGCATTGAATCACTAGCTGGAAAACCCGTATTACGTCCTGAATTCTCTGGATCATTTGCTGAAGATGACCTGTTGACATTCGATGACAAAACAGAAGTTGTGACTAAACAATGAATTGTTGAACCGTCAGTTATACCATAATCACATAATCGTCGACGTTTTTTTCTCACATTGTTGGGTCTTGATTCATCTGGTACTGCATCTAACAGTTCACGGCCTTGGAAAATGAGTCTTACATTCTTGTTTTGGTTGACTAATTCATCAACAAAGTGTTTCCTGAAAATACACAGAAAGAGACATTGACATGAAAGAGTAATAGTCAGAATAAAATGTTACTGATCAAGGAAACAAATACATGTATTGTTACTTATATGCGTTAAGCGACAGATATAAGAACCAATAAATATCTGGCTCATCAACTATCTTCACATGAAAATATGCATGATACGAAAAACTGTTTGTAGTCGGTGATAAGTTAACGTGAGTATTTGTACTGAAATATTTTTTTTGAGAATCAGAACAAGAATCATTAGGAATTTAGTGAGTTTTAAAACGAGCGCGTATATATTAGTTCTTCGCGTACTGATGTTGGATAGAACCAAAAAAGCGTGTCTGTTGAGAAGTGAGACTAGAAGAAGAAGAAAATATGAAAGCTACATAATCATACAGGTTCTAAGAAAGTTGTCTAGTGGTGTATTATGCTTCAGCTATGCTGATAGTAAATTCTAGCATTCTAAAATGACAGTAATTTGTCTGGGGATAAAATGCTTGCAGACAGTTTTGGTGAACTAAGTCTGGGAATTACTGAACTTTCAGACACAGAAACGCTACACTCAATTCTGTATGCAGTCAATAACTATCTTCAAATATATATATATATATATATATATATATATATATATATATATGAAAACAAAACACGTAGTTCAGCGAAGAGTCTCTTTTCGGCGAATTCATTAAGTCTGTCAAACAAAAATACAATCGCTTATAGTTATTTTAACTAAAGGAGTGAGAATTAGTAAGTTTTCGGTGGAGTTACGTAATACAAAAACGGTCAAGAAAATGGGGTGTTAATGAGACTAGTGTAGTAAACAAAGGTGATGAGTTGTCACAAACAGTTGTTAAAAGGGAGTTGCGTAATAATATAAATAGTTTGATGATTGAGTTGTACTCAGGACACACAAAGGAACAAGGTAGAGAATACGAAATTACATAAGAGAAGAAGAAATCCGCCGAATTCAACAAAATGAAACTAAATACAAACAGAGTCCTTCAAGAAATGAAACCCAAGATTGGAAATCCTCTCTGGTTTAAACTAAAACCAAAGTCTTATGTACCTTCAAGATTCTACGGTCAACCAAAGATACATAAACCCACGGTTCCATTGAGACCAGTAATAGATTTCACCAACTCACCGACATACAACCTATCTAAATACTTACTCTCGATACTACAACCACTACAAAAGGACACTCAAAATATTGTCAGAAATTCATATGATTTCAAATCCCAAATAGAACACCGAGAAATTGATAAAGAAGACATTATGGTAAGCTATGATATTAACTCATTATATACTAGTATCCCCATTACCGAAAGTCTTGATATCATTTCCAGTCTTCTAGAATCAGATACAACGCTATCACAAAGATGTCCACTGGACACCAGTCAAATAATTAAGAGCTTAAAATTCTGTCTAGAAAATAATTATTTTACATTTAAAGGGAGTTTATATAGACAGACAAATGGTGTTGCTATGGGTTCACCAGTCTCCCCAATAGTCGCCGACCTTTTCATGAATAAATTCGAAAATAACATCTTTTCAAGCATACTCACTCCTAAAATATGGTTAAGATATGTAGATGATACTTTTGTAGTACTAAAACGAGATCTACACAATTCATTCCTGGAGAAAATAAACTGTGTATCTCCCAGAATCCAATTCACTTCGGAAGCAGAATCAGACATCGGTGAACTACCATTTCTAGACTGCCTAGTTAAGAGAAGGGAAAACGGACATTTTAGTATATCCATATTCAGGAAGAAAACCCACTCAAATAAATATTTAGACTTCAAGTCATCACACCCCATCAGCGCAAAGATTTCAGTTGTTTCAAGTCTTCTTAGACGAGCACACTCTCTGATAACCGACGAGAAAGAAAAAGAAGAAGAAATATCAAACATTACTGAAACTCTCAAGCAAAACAACTACCCATGGAACTTCATCAACAAAATCAACACAGACATTAAGTATGGCCGAAAACGCATTCCGAAAACATGGACATCAACAGTCGTCATTCCATATAGAGAAGAGACGTCAGACGATATCAGAAGAGTACTCAATCAGCTCGATATTAGAGTTTTCTTCAAAACATCAGACACACTTCAAAGCAACCTTGTCCATATAAAAGACCAAATCCCTAAAGATTCACTATCTAATTGTGTCTATAAAATAAAATGCTTGGAATGTGATGCGATATACATTGGACAAACATCTCGAGAAATCAAGATCAGAAGAAATGAACACCGTAGAGCATCTCTTCGACCACCGAGAAATCCTGTTGAACTACAAAGACTTGAAAAATCATCAGCCATAGGTCTACATGCTATAGAATCAGGCCACAAAATTGATTTTGACAATGTTGAAATAATCCAGAAAAACTTCAGAAATCACAAAGAACGTCTAATATCAGAAGCACTTCATATCAAGTGGAATCAAAATTGCCTGAATAGGAATGATGGACTAAAACAGAATCTGACCTGGTTACAACACCTCCCTCCCCCCCATCAAGTGACAAAACGAACACGAATGTGATAAGCACTTTCATTATGTAAACACACGCTGCTTTTATAATCTTATACACTTATCAAATCTAACAATCTACACATGATGGTTTTGTTATCTTTACCAATTCACCAACTTGACAACTAAAAATGCCCCCAAACAGACGAACGATGATCAAGTTAGTAAAATTTATTTCGATACCATAACAGACATACTATTACCTTTGTTATTTGGTTTAGTTATCTTCATCGCTATTTTTACTTTCAATATGTCCCTTTAACTTGACCTATGTCTATTTTCTCACCCCCTAACTGTTTGTTATATATATGCTGAGATTTTGTAAATTCCGGTTTAATAATACTTTGATAAAGCTATTAGCATTAAATAGCGAAACGTCAGTAAAAACAATATCGTTTTGTTTTTCATTCATTGGGAAATACAAAAACCTTTATTATAATGAAGCAAAATTAAGTCATCAAAGTTGTTACCATGATAGTAGAAGTGGTTGAGTAATTCCCTCTTGTGTGTTTTAGCTTCGTTTTACCATGTGAATGGCCAGAGCTTCTGCAGTACAAAGAAGACGAAACTGTATTGCGTTTGGTATGTTATTCTTGACTCTGTAGATTACTTTGAAGGAGACGTTTGTTGAAATGGAATGATCAGTGTCAACCAGATGTTTTATTATCTTACTCCTTATAGCACCACTAGTGCCTTTTCGCAACCATGCTGGATAGTGGTCTTGAATCCTCTTGGACAGGATGCGCGTCGAACGATCAATGTACCACCTGGCTCCACAGTAGCAGGTGAACCGAAATATGCATATGCTAGTGGGATCTTGCCCTTAAGGCGGGCGACTAGAAAAGACTATCCTTAGCGTTGCTGCAAAGAATTTTCTCCTCAGAGATGATGCGATCCTTCTCTTGAGAATATCACTTGTTAAATCTCCCTTGAAATCCGAGTTTCTTTTTGGGCACAGGTGAAGTTTCATTTCTCCAAATTCTCAGTTTGAAAAGACGTATTTCTTCACTGAACAAAAAACTGTGTTTTTGATAATGAATTAATGGGTATATTTCGCGATTTGAAGATCTGCAAGGACCCAGTGATAGTGAAGGGGCTTAATGAGTTTCTACGATATTCTGCCAAGCTTGTAAAGGCGAATGCCAATATTGATACTCTCAAAGGTTGCATTAAGAATGGTGAATATCCAAAATTTTATTGGAAAATATTACGCCGTAATCACATTTATCCGAATAGTCGAACTCTTAAATGCCCTATACTTAATTTGATCAATGCCACACAAATATGTCCTCCAAAACTCAAAAATACATTTGAAATCTCCGTTTGCAACTGTTTTGTGCTTCTTTTGTCTTCCTGTCATGATACCTGCATTTTTCACGAGGATCTTTCACTTCCCTTTTCGCAAGTTAATCCGTTGTTCCGTTAATCAATATTTTTGAAGATATCACGTAACATACTATTTAGAGTATCTTGTCAGTAGCACACGTCACACTACCAACCACTATTAACTGTGCACATACAACATACATCGAGTAAAAAATATATCAGCTCCGTGACAAGATGATAACAAAAGTGTAAAACTATGGAATCATTTCAATGGAAATCGAACTAACACAGTTGTTGTTAACTTGAGAACATAGTAGTGATTCATTCAACTAATGGTGCCCGTCAGGGATGCCCACTGTCCCCGTTTCTGTTTAACTTCATTGCAGATGTACTTAACCCTAACTGATTTCAGCGACTTATGGATTGACTTGTTACCAGGGAATAATTTCGTTGACTTACAATATGCGAATGATATAATTCTTCTAGGTGAAGGGGCTGACAAAATGCAGAGTCTTCTGAACAAAGTGAGCAGCAATCTTCGAATGTTTGGCATGCGATTCGCTCCCGTCAAATGTGGGGTGATACTACAGGACTGGACTGGACTACATTGACTCCTAGTTTAGAAATAGGGAGTGAAGTGGTGGAGCACGTTAACCACTTCACTTATTTGCGGAGTTGCATCAGCCCCAACGGGTTGGTTGCTGACAAAATCTCAGCGAGGATACAGAAGGCTCGTTTGGCGTATGCCAACTTACGCCCTCTCTGGCGTAGACTTGATATCCGGCTGTCGACCAAAGGGCATGTTTACTGCTCAGCAGTTCTCTCTGTCCTCCTTTATAGCTGGCTGTGAGACATGATCATTGAAAGTGGAAGATACGAAAAGGCTGGCTGTGTTTGATCGCAGGTGTTTACGTTCTATATTCTGTGTTAAGTGTTATAATAAAGTGAGCAGTACTGAGGTGAGGCATCGGTCGAGTGCTAGGTAAGAAGGGGAAATCAACAGACGAGGTTGTGAAGTTACACCGATTGAGATGATCAGGACATGTGTTACGTATGCCTAGCCATCATCTTCCTCGATGGACAATGTTAGCTGATGTAGGATTAGGTTGGAAAAGAGCTAATGGTGGTCAAACCAAAGCATGACTTCATCAGTCAACCAAATCCATAAGTTAGTTTGAGCCAGCCAGCCACATAGGGAGGTATACAGTTCCTGACTGGTTGGGGTCTTCGGGATGGTAAAAACTGATGACTGGAGACAATCGGTGATATTGCTCAAAATCGTTTTCTATGGCGCAGATGCATTCACTCATTGTGATTTATCATATCCAGTAAAACTCTTTGTTCTTCAATATTACTATTCTTTTTCCCTCATACGTCTGTTTATTATCTCTCTCTTTTGAATCTCTCCTTACTCTCTTCTCTTGCTTTGTGTGCTACATGGAGTGTGGTAACTCGAACTCCTGCACATCTGTGTAAAGTTCTATGTTGAAACCAGTCAGTCAATCAGTAGTGATTCATTAATTAGACTAAGATATGTACTTATTATAGATACTCAAATTCTAGTAGGCTTAACTAAACTAATATCAGCTGAGTAGCCAACTAATTTGAAGATTTTAAGACAGATTTAGTCACGAACTGAGATTGAACAGAGGATAATTGTTTCGCTTTGACTTGGGACTTTTCAGTAGTGACTGCTCACAAATTTGCTAGAAATCAAGCTCAGGACTGTCAGGGAAGCTGAGCAGACGTGGTACTTTTCGATCATTGGGTCAGTCGAAACAAAGTGGCCCATTATATTTGACTTCTACCAATTATATGTGATATCAAAATTGGAATAACAATAGGTCATAAAAGAAATTAAACATTTATCTAATAGACTAATTAATTTGTAGTATTTCGACCCCAAAACATGCATAAGTTTCTAGATAAAAAATGTGTATAGTGACTGGAATCAAAAGCCAGAAAACAACTACAAAAAATGCACAAGTTTATGTATTAATTTCTGAGTTCTATGTGCTTTACGGACCAACGTTACTCGCTAATGGAGTAAAGTGAAATACACCTATTGATTTTAAACCTTAAATTCAATACTGAAGGCTAAAACCTTTTATGTATATGTATTAGATCCCTATAACACTCTTTGTTAGCCAGTGAATCTAGAGATTATAACATGCAAAAAACCATAAAACAGGATGATTAATAAAGGTTACGTAGGACTCGACTTTTATTCAGTGGGTCCCGGGTTCGAGCCCCGTCCCACCTGCTTCAGCCTAGGCAACTGAGTAGTATCATAAATTCCCATATAATAAATGTGGCTTATAGCCTTTTTTTCCTTCACGTTCCCCAGTGGAACATAGGGCTCCAAGCTAGTGACTTGAATTTTCTGTAGCAGTGTTTTTTCTACGGGATGGGGTTGCTAGCCTCATGCCCAACCTTTCCTCTTCACCAGCATTATTTCTCGTTTAGCGAGGTAAAGGAGTTCGTCGGCCGGGGATCGAACCCCGGACCATGTGCATGGTCGGCGGGCATCCTAACCGCTATGCCACCGACGCACTTATTAAAAGATGATCTCTACCACACAGAAATACGCTTCATCTGACCTCAGAACTACTCATACAGAGAAACTATCGCCCCCCAGTGGGCGCCATGTGCGTCGGTGGGTAGTGGGTAACTGAGATCTGACTAACTATATAGAAAGACAATGAAGGGAATAGACTAGCTGAGTTGCAACATAGAACTTTGCACAAAAGTGCAACAGTTCCAGTTGCCACAATCTATATACCACACAAAAGTAGAGAAATGAAAGAAACAGATTCAAAAGAACTATACTAAGCAGAGATGTGGGAGGGAAAGAATAGCAACATATTAAAACATGAGGGTCTAGTTGATAGTGGAAACCACAAAGAGTGGATACATATGTGCCATTGAGAACGATTGTCAGCCATATTACTAATAGTCTCCAGCCATTAGTTCTTAGAATCCTGAGGACCCCAACCAGGCAGTCTACACCTCCCTACGTGGTTCAGGCCAACTGTCAAAGACTTCATGGACTGATGCTAGGTTTTGGTTCGACCACTAGTCTTTTCCTACCCAACTTTATGTCAGCTAACATTGCTCGTCGAAGAAGGCAGTGGCTGGGAATGCCCAGCATATGCTTAGGCCACCTCAATCCATTTACTCTCACAACCTCACCGATTGACTTTCTTTCCTTACCTAGCACTTCACGCCTAACCCCGATATTACTTACCATGTTGCACCACTTAGCACGGGAGATAGGACGCAAACACCTGTGGTCAAAGACAGCTAGCCTTATCAAGTCTTCCAGTTTTAATGGCCATGTCTCACAGCCAGCCATAAAGGAGGAAAGAATGAACGACTGCGCAGTGCATGCGCCCTTTGATCGATAGCCAGATATCATGTCTACGCCACAGATGATGCAAGTTGGTAAATGCCGCGAGCCATTTGAATCCATACTGAGATATAGTCAGCACTCAGTCTATTAGGACTGATGCAACTCCCCAAATAAATGAAGTAGTCAACACGTCCTACCACTTCACTCCGTCTTCCAGCTAAGAGTCGGTGTAGTGCAGTCCTGCAGCAAAATCTTACATTTGACAAGAGCGAATCACATGCCAAACACTCGGAGATTTCTAATCAGTGTTCAGAAGACTCTACGTCTTGTCAGCGTCTTCACCTAGGAAGACAATATCATCCTTGTACTCTACGTTTGTTCCTCGATAACAAGTCAATTCCTAAGTCGCTAAAGTCAGTAAAGGTTAATTCCACTAGTAATCAAACAAAAACGTGGGAAATAGGCATCCCTGACGGACACCACTGGTTGTCATCACTTCAGATGACGACTTACTGTAAGCTCTTAAACGGCTACGTGAGTTCGAGTATAATGCTTTGATTGGTGTGATTAACCTTTTCAACAATCTTTTCATGGCCAAACATTGCAATAGCAATTCTGGGTTGACGCAGTCCAATACCACCTTCAGGTCAAGAAACATGGCAAGTATTGGACGCCGGTAAGCATACTAGAATCTGTCGAAGGGTGAAGATATGATCAATACACCCTCTTCATGGGATAAGGCCTGCCTGGCTTTCCCGGGTTCGTTTCCCTCGAGCACCACTTAGTCTGAGCATGATTATTGAACCCAGAACCTCAGATGCTGTATTAGTCAGGCTCATCCGCTATGATTATCACAAGAAGTTTTGTCTGCCCACAGAAGTAGATTTGTTTATGAAATAAAGGTGTGAAAAACAATGTTCTTAACACATAATAGATACTATTCAGGATGATTATGACCTCATTTGTTAAAGAAAATACTTTACAAATATATAAAACTGATTTTTGGTTCAGTTTAATCGGACACTAATTGTGATTTGATTTCACATTTGATGTTCACATTTTCGCTTCAATGAATGTATTTATTCATTTTCAATTTGACAGAAAATTTTAGTAGGTATTTTGTGTCCAAACCGATTACCGGGTGTCAACCATCAAGGCTTTCAAGCATGTAATGCTAATTAATGTCCACTAATCAGATATACAGTGAAATCACTTCATTTTAAGTTCCATGTTATAATGCAATAAATATCACACTGTTATGAAAATAAAATAAAAACATACTTTCTGAAACGACTAACAGACATTGTTGGAGACACATGAACAAATCGCGTCTCATCATTGAGATATTGTAACTTTACTACCAAGTGGCCTTTGGAACGATGTGTGGTCTTTGACTGTTCTTCTGTTTTGTTGTCTTTTGATTCATCATCTGACGAAGAGTTGTTTTGAACAGCTGAATTAGAAACTCGTTCTATGAGATTAGAAAAGAAGCATAAAACAGTAGCAAGTATGTGTATGAGGAGGCGTAATAGAGAAGTGGGATTTTTAGACACAACATAATAATACACTGATGGTCGTCCTATGAGTTATGTAAACCTTTTTAAAGAAAGGCACAATAATAGCTTTATTCCGCATTGACGGAACATTCTCATTTCCTTATAATTCCCTGAACAATCGACTGAGTTCCGCGACTAAAGTCTAATCACCATATGCGAAAAGAGATGTGACTAGATTGTCTGGGCCAGGTGCATTATAGTGTTTCAGCACTTGGAGTTTTACATCTAAAGCACACAAAAGCAAGATCAGAATACAGACCAGCGCTTCTGTATGCGCATATGTCATCGGTAGCTAGTAGTGACATGATCTATTTGAATCCAAGCTAGATTATTAAAGGGAGGACATCAGGTAGCACTACGACGGTGGCTGCGCTGGAAGTCAGTGTTAGCCAGGAATAGGTTATATATATATATATATATATATATATATATTGCTACTTGGTCTACTGAACTAGCAAGTTTCACTTTCACTGACTTAATCACCACGCCAGTAGTCAATAAATTCATTATCTCCTTGTTCTGTTGGGTCAGAAAGCTAACTGGCATATTCCAAAATCATTCAGTAATATAGTATTACACTACAACTGTAATATAGATGTTACTTACCATGTGAACGTTTGCGAACACTACATTCGATATCGAGTTCATCCTCAGAGCTCGAAGATGAAGTTTCTGAATATATGCTGTTTGTTGCATCTGCAGTATTCGGTTCTGTGACATTAGTAGTCTCTGCTTCAGTGCCTTGGTTCTCATTTTGTTGACGTGATAAGGTTATTCTAACTGGTACTAATTCCCAGTTGACTCTGGTTGACATCCATGCTACGACAAGAAATACAACTGTTCCCATACAACTGAAGACAAAAAGTATTTCATTTCCGATTCCCTCAATGATAGATCCATATGCACTCATTAGATCTGGAAAACCGACCGACCGACCAAGATCTGGAAAATCGAATTTAACGTATATAAACGTTAGTCTAAAGTTATGCAGTCGTAAAAGTTTATCTGAACCTTGAAAAATGATAAAACACTATTAAAACTTTGGAAGGTAGGGTGTGAATACAAAATTCAACTGCCTGAGCCATGAGTATTATACGGAAGTCATTTAACAATCGATAATCTACACTAATCGCTATCTAACTGCATGATGCTTTACTTCAGTGTCACTTTCTTAAGGTGAGAAATACACATACTGGTACACAGAGTTAACAAAAAAACGATTTAGCACTTAACCAGATGTTGAAAAGGCGCATCTCGTACAACATTTTCGTTTTTAATTACCAGAGATCACAGCAACAACGAGACATAAGTGTGACTTCAACGTCTTATTATGGTTGTTTTAACAACTCCATTCATTCTTTTGTGGATCAGGGAATGTTACACGAACTAGTATAAGAGTTTTTAATTGTCCACGCAGCTTTTATTATCTAAGGAGACGACTTATTTAATTAATCATTCGCAGTCTTACCGTATCAAGGTGTGCATGGACAGTATGTAGGAGAAACATACGACCTGCAGTAATATCAAGCAGTTTATTCACAAAATTACACACCGACTGATTGCTTAATTTTACATAGGTTTTTAGAGGAGCAAAACACTTATTTTGGTCGTTTGGTAAACTGGGACGACATACAGTTTCATCACATGGCGCAACCACACAGGTGGCCTCTATCCTTAGGGGTTCATTTGCAATACTGGTAATATAGCCTGAACATATTCACGCACAGCATGAAAATGTTAAATTTCGCCTAGTATGGCTGGTTAAAACATGATATCAATAACACAGTGCATGTCGTTAGTCCTACCGAACGATTTAACACGAGTTATCCAGTACGTATACCGAAACTGTTTTAAATAGCTTACAACCATACCATCGAGCCTTGAGTATGGCATGACTCAAAGCTGTATACATTAACAGTCTAACGTTACATGGCAGTAAGATATGGCTTGAATTAAAGGTCTACAAGAAATTAAAACCCACGATAACAAGTAAAAATACCATCGTCTTGTATTCTACAGGCATATGGTTGTAGAAAAATTTTATCGTGTTTCTTTCTTGGATTCTGCTTTGGTAGTATTCCTAAGCAGAGTTCTCCTAGAAATGGACTTTTAGGTTCTAAGCATAATCACTTTTGAATTTTCCAAAAGGTTTGACAACAAAAGCTAATTATTGCTTTTCGTACATAAATAACGCATGATGCACGTGCTCTCCTGACGTTATTTGCAAACAACAATTGTTTGTGAGGTAGTCAACCTCAGTCCACCGTAGGCTGGTGAAAACCAGTTACTGCACCTAATTGCAGCCAAAAAACTCACGTCACGTCAAAGGTCCCACACAATCACCCATACTTGGCTACTAAAATGCAGTCTTTCTGCTTCTAAATCTTTTAACACCAGGTCGTTTGACATTATGTGGTTTTCGAGAAGTCCAGTTAGCAATGACTTTAGGCGAACTGCAGAAACTTTGTAGCACACTACTTAAAAGACTTATGGTCCACTGCAGACAATTGTTGCACTTTCTTCAGTCTTTGCCCTCAGTGGACACGAAGAAAATGCTGATTGAAAGAATTCAATCTTTAATCGCCTTAGAAGCGTAATCGTGTCTACTATTACAATTTAGGTGAAAAACTAATACAATTAACGTTTTAAATAAGAATCAACTGAGACTCCTTCCTCTAAGCCAACAGTGTGTTAACTGGTTCACACCATCCTTTCTAAAATTAAGCTTAGCGTTGTTTTTCTACTAAGAGTCGGTGGGACAGCGGTTAGGACGCTCGCCGACTATGCACATGGTGCGGGGTCTTATTCGGGTACTCAAAATAAAAATAATGGGGCAAATTTTTCGGGCTCTTAGGGAGATTTTAAAGAAGATTTAGGAGTACTGAGGTGTGCATGTATACACGCCATATATACACCCAGGTCCAAACGTTGACGAAAGGAAGCAGCTAATCGCAAAAGGGCAACAGTAAAGAATAGACACCTAGGTCAAATGACCTTGAGTCTTCCCATTCATATTCCTCTTCTAAAAGTGGCATTTATTTTAGGAAAAAGTGTATTTTTGAGATAGACGTAATGAAACTAAGTTATACAGTGTATATATCTCTAAGATACGATAGAAACTGGTCCCATAATCTCATAGGATTCTGAAGACATACAAAACAAATGTCGATACCAAAAATCCAAGTGGCTGCATACCATATCATTTCGGGAACAATTTACTATTATAATAGATTTTTAGATGGACCCAGAATCCTTCAATAGAATTTGTATGAGTTCCACTTATATGATGTACTAATTCAGAGGTATGATTGACTTTATGATGAATATGGTATAATGATGATAGCTGCGAATAACCTACACACTCGAGTGTATGAATAGTAGCGGCTAGAATAACTAGTCGTTGTATTATTGATATTAGAACATTTGCATGAAACTCGCAACGAAGATCATGAGCAACATCCATTTGTAATGCCGAGTCATTTATTGGTTGACTCAAGGCCATTTGACTTTGGTGTCTATTCTACACTACTGCCCGCAACAGTCTGTGAAAGTCTTTGATAAAAAAGGGATTTATACTAAAATTTGAACGACTATGTCAAGAAAAGCACAGTCATGCACAAAAGTTCCAAAAATGAACAAGACACAGCGATACATAACCTTCGCAGAACCGACTAAGTCAAAACACGCGCAAGGACATCTGTACAATGTCCACTTACAAGTTACTATTTTCAGACTATTTGTTCCGCATGATCTAGGTAACTAGGTGGATAAGATGCCTGAAGAATATTCCCCTCCATATTAGTCAAACATGCTGGATTGCTTTTTTGCTAACCATTCGTTAACAAACTGGTTTTCAGCTAATTCTGCAGTTATTCGCAATTTATCTTGATGTATATTACTCATTTATTCTGCGTTTTGCATCCTTTTGGTTTCCTTTGCTGTTAAAGTTACTCATTTTTTGTTTCGAAAGTTGTTGCAACAGGCCAGTTTATTCATTTCATTGTAATTATTTCATACGTTGCTTTCATTCAACCAATATGCTGGGAGTGTGCCTCAGTTAGATCACATAACGCGGACACCAACAGGACATGTAGGAAAATGAGAGTTTCTATCAATCCAGAAAAAATAACAAGATTTCATGAAAAATTAAACACAACAAAATTTTCCGAATGAATGTAGCCTACGGTGCACTTTAGATTCATACCAAATATCTTTTATTGCTGTGCAGTGTTGGTATTGTTTATAATGAATCAAAAGAGAGTGAAGAAATTAAATGTTTATGTTAAGAATTATACTGTATCACAATACGACGGCTGAACAGAAATTCCAGCAATAGGCGATTCTACCGTCATTTTCTCCGCATGTTTATGATGTATTTTCAAGCGGCCAGTCATTGAAGTACTTATTCTTCGTGATAAATACGCACCAAAATCACTTATGGAGACACAGGACATTAGTCTTTGTTCACACCCAAAACACGCCGCTCCACGAAGTACGGCTGTTAGAGATGGGATAAATCTAATCTCCGCCTTTATTAGAGGGATGAGAGTTACTTAACCGATATAACTCGCACTGTTATGATGTATGTCTCATCCATACTTTGAATATCGGCTGTTTGGATCCTAATTTCGAAATCGGGCATTGGGCGGTGCATTATTCCGTAATATTACCAGTTTGCATCGTCACTTTGATTCACTACTGGGCTGTTGAGATTCAATATTCACACGCAGTGAACCGCTCACCCTGTATGACGAAATATAATGTCTAGATGTTTGTGCACGATCTTTCATCATTTAAACACGGACCCCAGCCTAATAACATCCGTTTGCAAGAGTATTTCGTATCTGGGATAGTCCAGTTGTTTTTCTGCATTCGTTCACCAACTGGTCACATATGTACATTTTTTTAGAAGATAGTATCGAGTCACGCTTATCTAAAAACGTCATCCCCCAGTGGTCTGATGTACGTTGTATATCACATGCGAAATATCTCTTTCCCAGAACTTACAAAAAGCTTACGGATAGCTCATAATACTCTGTAATCCCACACAGCTACGATATTCGGACGTCTTCAGGTTATGGATCACAAACATTGGTGAGCCACTCTTCTTGGTAAAAGATGATATAAAAATGTATATACTGTATTCACCTCAGTTGCTCCTATTCTTGTGAGTTTTCAAGGCTTCTACAAGAAATGAGTCTCGCTTACAAAACTGTTTGATGCATCAGTTGACCATACACAGTTGTTATTATTCCCTCAGGTTCCGGGTTGAACACAGGGCTTTAACAACACAAATACTTCCTTCTGTTCTCTGCAGTTGTCCTGATGATTGCCCACAGGCATTTTTCCCTCCCAACAGGATCTCCTCCATATCACCCTCCAACCCCCAAGCTGTCGTCTTTTACTCACGTTCCATTCGAGGCTCAACAGTCGTTCAACAGTCTCCTCAGCAAGTGTCTGATCCATTTTCGGTATATTTTTTGACCATACATAGCAATGAGTTCATTTCTGACTGTCTGATACCTAAGTGTCTGGACAGTTAGGCATCAATAAATGTCGAATCACATTTACATGTACTTAATCTCACTCCATTGACGGAAAAGAAGTCCTAGTAGTTCTTCATGTTTCCCAATGCAACCAAACTTCTTGGTTTGCTAACGTGCAAGTAAAACCAAAAAATAGATGTGAAATTAAGAAGCATTTATTATTAGAAGTGCCTAGTTCACATTGGAACAATCACAACGGATCGTATGTACCCCACGGTTCAGAACAAGTGATTTAATTGCACTGGTATGAATGGTCACTATAACATTCATTATTTAGCATTTATCAACAAATATCCATGGTTGTCACACTTCAACAGGCTATACATTTAAACCTACCTTTTTGATACTACTTTTATTGAATTGT